ATTATTTTAAAAATAGTGCACTAGTATACCAAACCTAATTATTAATGCGGTTTAATTTTTTAAATCCATTTTATGTAGATAATAAACTTTATTTTTCTGAAAATTGATTATGTTTTTTTTTTTAAATGGTGCACTTTAGCTTCAAATTTAAATCAATTTTTTTGAATTTTTTTTACATCTCTAATCAAAATCCCTCACTTATCCTCCTCTTCTTTTAACCAAAGAAATCCTTTGTTTTCAATAAAAAAATTCTCAAAAACATATATAATTTATATTTAATCAAATTATATATCAATCATTAAAATATATTATATGTTTTGCATCCCGCTTTTACAACATATCGCTACAAATGAAAAATACTTCTTTATATATATATAAAAAATAAACTCATCAACAATTTTAAAAGATTTAGTAAAATACATTTAGAAATATTTTGTTAACAAGGAGGATAATGAAAAATAATTAAATATGACTATAAATTATTATTAGGCACCATTATGGAATGAAAAAATAGATCAATAGTGATAACACATTATAAGAAAATTCGCGATAGAGAAAGTGAAGTTCATAATTTGATTTTAAGATATAAGTAGAGTAAGATAGGTTATTATTTAAAAAAAAAATAAAAGAAATTAAAAATAACGAAAAATGAAAAAAATTAAAATCAACTCTTATTTATAATTTTACATGAATACTTATGAAAGTTTATAAAAAAAAAATAGCATATCACACTTTTCCCTTTACATTTAATATTATTAATTTATTTTTCCAAAATTATTGGTAGTTTTTTTTACTAGTAGAAAAACCAATTATTGATTAATTATTCATAATCAATTTATTTTCTTCAATAATTAATTATATATTTTTATATTATATGCACTAAATAATTTTTTATGTGTCCTTCTGATAATGAAGTCCTGGGTAATCGTGCCACTATAGTACTCAGAGTCACCATTGTTTTTATATATAAAAAATATTTAATTAATCAAAATCAATGAAAACAATTAAATTATTTAACTTTAATTAATACTATAATAATTTAAAATTTTATTTTAAAAATATAAATTGAATTAAAATAATGTAAGTTATAATTATATTTAATGATATAACTCAAAAGTCAAATGAATACTTTTTCAAACAATTAAGATAATTTATATTGTTAATTTTTTAATAAAAACATTTATTTTGATAAGAAATAAGTATATGATTCATTAATAGCCTCATAATATATTAAGAGTATAACTAATTAACGTATTTAAAAGTAAGTCTATATTTCTCTTAAATATTGCACAAATGAAAATACTAATTTTCTTAATATATTCGAATTTATTTTAACACCGGGCCATCGTCACTAACAAGGAAAGCAACAGTATTGGATTTTGGCAATATTAACACAGCTCAGCCAGATACTAGAAGCAAACCATTAAAGTCAATATACTACCATTGACCAAAAACATCAATTATTTATTACAAATTTATAATAATATATAAAGGAGATTTTTTGGTAGATCTTCATTTTTTTTTTACTATTATACTCTTGTATTTTAAAAAAATTAAAAAAAATATTTTTTATTTAAATTTAAGAACTTGAAACTAATGAATTTATACTTCTATACTAATTTATACTATATATAAAGAGGATACCCTTTTCAGTAATTACCTTGGTCTCCATTTTTTTACCATTATACTATTTTATTCTAAAAAATTAAAAAAATTATTTTTTAATCAAATTTAAAAATTTAAAATTAATGAATTAATCATAATACTAATTAGATCAGTATACTTTTATTATTTTATTTTATTTTTATTATATTTTTAATAGAGGTACGAAGTGTCTCGACCCCATTAGTGCAAAATAAAGAAAGTGAAATCATCTATATAAAAAAAATGTTCAATTAACTAAATAATAGCGCTAATGAAAAACATTAATTTATAACAATGATAAACTCTTATGATGTTTAGTTTTTTTTAGACATCTTTGTCTATTAATTGCATACAACTATTAATCTAACTTTTCTTATATTACAACGTAATTTTTTCTTTTAAATTGCACATTAATTCACAAAATATATGATGAGATGAGATGTCAATAATACATTTTTTTAATTGAAGGGTTAAATATTTTTCACACAATCAATTAAAAATCACAAGGGAATAAAGTATGAATAATATTTGCTCTTACAAATAAAGTATAAACAATAGTTGCTTTTACAAATGAAGCAAAGAAAAATTTAACATTATCAAATATACAAATATTACCTTTTAGAGACAAATCATAATTGACCATCTTATCAACTACTTGATTTGCTTCGCGTAACACATAAAACCAAATTAATCATCGACTGGCAAAATTAAAAAAATAATGTTTTGTTTTGCACCAATCGAAAACAAGGATGATAGAGAGTATATTCTTCTTTCAACAAAGTCACCACAAGAATTTGATTCTACTATGAAGTTACTAAACTCTTTATTTCAAGCAATATTTATAACAAAATGAATTGCCTATAACTCTGCAAGAGGCACCAAATAGTAACTAATATTTGCAGAAAAAGAAAAAACAACAGCACCATAAAAGTTATGAAAAACACCTCTTACAGCTAGCTACCTTCATTGCTTTCATGGAGGCCACAATTTAATTTCATCACACCTGGGGAGGGGGTTCCCACCTCAAAAGCATGGGCTCCAAAACTATTTTATCAACAGTAGGTTTGTCCTTAATATGCAAGCAGCTTGTCCTGATAGACAGTTCACCTACAAGAATGTGAAATTTTATTTCTATAAATTGTGAAACATTATCTTGAAACACAAACTCGTTCCTGCATCTCCAAAACACATCCAAGGCCACTACAAAAAGATGTTCCATCTTCTATTATTTGTGCTGGAATGCTAGCTTAAATTAGCTAGGAGTCATGACGAGAAATCTTTGTCAAAAACCAAGAGTGTTGCTATCCAAAGAGTAACATATACCAAACAACCCTTATGGGGGGTAGAATCACATAACATGGTCCAGATCTTCAATGCAATGTGCACAATATAAACAAGACTAATTCTCTATCAAATGTTTACTATATCTAACTGCATTAGTCAACAAGTTGAAATTTGCAATTTTCCATAGCAAGGTGCGGATCTGTTCAGGCCCAGGCCATGACCAAATTTCCACAAACAACAAGTTCCTTTCATTGTATGAATCAAAGCTTGATATCAGCTGTGTATATGTTGAAAAACACAAAGAATTTACCTGTTGAAGTTCCTTTCCAAGATAACACATCAGGATGTCTTAGATCGTTCGGTGGAAGGATTGCACAAATACAATTTAAAACACACTCTTCCAATATATTATTAATAGCGAAAAAATCCCAATCACCTATTTTGGTTACCAAATCTTTCACCTTAAAATTAAGGTGAGGACTAGAAATAGTTTTTGTTGCTCGTTCAATCAGTCTCCCTAAATTTGGAATCCATTCATCATTCCAGAATTCCACCATTTGGCCATTAATTACCAAGTCTCCCATGGATTGAATTCCTAAGACCTAACTAGTCTGTTGCTTTTAGTGCCACCTCACATTCTTTGAGAAGTAAACACGAGTTTTATTCTTGTTAATTTTTTGACTAGTACTCTTGCAAAAACATTCCAAAATTATAGTAATAATATTAGCCTGCTCCTCACTAGCTTTAGCAAATAGAATTAGATCATCCGCAAGCACCAAGTGAAACAGCTTAGGAGCTATTCTAGCTATATGAATTGGCCTCCATTGTTTGGCTTCCACGGCTAATTGAATTAGGGGGAATAGTCGCTCAATACAAAGCACAAACAAATAAGAAGAAATTGGGTTTCCTTGCCTAATCCCCTTTTGCAAATCGAATTCATCTAATGACTCCCTATTTCATAAAACTCCAAGTTTTGATGAGGAGATGCACCACCAAACAAAATTAATAAAATTGTTGTGGCATCCAATATCCTCAAGAATATTTCTAACAAACTCCCAATTTAGACAATCTTATGCTTTTAACTATAGGATGCACCTTCTGTCAATAATACAATTAAAAAAAAAATATATACTATCTTTATACTAAAAATAAATAACTGATTTATCAATATCAATTAAAATTAATTGAGTTAACTTTAAATAATAATTATGAATTTAATTTATTTTAAATGTCATTTGAAATATACGTTTATTAATTTTCATAAGAACTACCTATACATATATATTTGTTAAACTTTTTATAGTACAAAAATTTAAATGCATTAAAAATTATAATAATAAAAATTGAAAGCATTCTTGTAATTTACGAGTAGCGATTTTGAAACATGTTCTTTATAAGTTGATGTTTAACTTTTAATTTATAGGCATAAACCACGATGGTACCGAGAAAAAGTCACAAATCACGGTTCAAACAAAAACTCTCTCCTGTAATTTATTTAATCTAACTTCTAACGTCAAGAATTTTGCAAAGATAAAGTAAAGATGGTATTCACTAACTAAAAAGCAACAGCTAATTTATCCGATTTATAATTGGTCCAGATTTACCAACGATAGTTATTTTTTATTAATTAAAAAATTATATTAAAATAAGACACAATTTCATAACAATTATGAATTATTTTTAAAGATTTTCTGCATGGAAAAATAAAAGATTTTGATCGAAGGAAAATCAAATTGCATCTCAAATTTTGAAATAAGTTAGTTTTAATTATGTTTTGTCTTTGCTTTGAATATTTGTGTTTCGTACTCATTTTTCAAAAATCTTATTCATAAGATATGTTAGCTTATTTAAGTAATTTATGTTGGAATGATTCGGTGTTCTAGAAGATAAGTGGGGTGTACAAAAATAAAAAAGAAGGGAATATTTTAGTGGAGATAATAGAAATAAAAAATAATAGACCGTTCCGTTGCGTCCCCTTTTCCAATGCTCATCCTTATGTGTCGCTTTCAACACCCCTTCCTTCTAGAATGCCATTTGCCTTCTCACTCATAATTCATAACTTACCCTAAACCATGTGCACCCCATTTTCCCCATTCTATAAAATCCCAAACCCTCATATCATAGCATATCATCATTCTCCAAACCCTTTTCCTCCAACATCGCAAAGATCCTTTCTTTCTGCAAAGGTAATCGATTTCTCTACTCTCACCATGGAGTTAATTTCAGGTCTACCAGAGGACGTGGCCCGGGACTGTCTGATACGGGTGTCGTATCAAGAGTTCCCCACGGTGGCGTCGGTCTGCAGACTCTGGAAATCCCAGATTCACGCGCCGGAGTTCCACCGTCAACGCCGCACCACAGGCCACGCCCAGAACGTCATGCTCATGGTTCAAGCAAAGGTCGAACCGGGAACCGCTTCGACCAAGCGCGTGACCAACCCGGTTTACAGACTCAGCGTGTTCGAACCCCAAACGGGTAATTGGGCCGAACTGCCAGGCCCACCCGAGTTCAATTCGGGGTTACCCATGTTCTGTCAGGTAGTGGGCGTCGGGTACGATCTGGTTGTGTTGGGCGGGTTGGACCCTAATTCATGGAAAGCATCCAATTCGGTTTTTGTTTATAACTTCTTGTCGGCCAAGTGGCGCCGCGCCGCCTGCATGCCCGGCGGACCCCGCACCTTCTTCGCGTGCGCCGCCTCCGACTCCCACGCCACGGTTTTCGTCGCCGGCGGACACGACAACGAGAAGAACGCGCTGCGCTCCGCGCTTGCTTATGACGTCTCGTCGGACTGCTGGATTCCGCTGCCGGACATGGCGGCGGAGCGCGACGAGTGCCGCGGCGTCTTCCGCCGCGGCCGGTTCTTCGTCGTCGGGGGTTACCCGACGGACGCGCAGGGAAGGTTCGAGAAGAGCGCGGAGGCGTTCGATCCCGCCACGTGGCGCTGGGGAGAAGTGAAGGATGGCTTCTTGGATTGCGCCACGTGTCCGAGGACGTTCGTGGACGGTGGCGATGGCGATGGCGAGGGGGCGTACCTGTGCGTCGGGGGTGAGTTGATGGCCATGCGGAGGGACACGTGGCAGAGGATTGCGGCGGTGCCCGGGGATGTGTGCAACGTGGCGTACATTGGAGCGTTGGATGGGACACTGGTGGTGATCGGATCCAGCGGCTACGGGGAAGTCCACGTGGCTTATGCTTTCGATGCGAAGAGTTGTAACTGGAGAAAACTGGAGACACCGGAGGCCTTCAGAGGACATGTCCAAACTGGTTGCGTTTTGGAGATTTAGGAAAATTTGCATTTTCATTTTTCTACATAAATATTATACAATTATAGGTATATATACTCTATATAGAGTATAGTTTTCCATCTTGAAAACTTAATCTTTTTTCTTAAAGAATTGAAATAGCGCGAGTGAAAAAAAAAAAATCTATCTCCTCCTGAACTTCTGTATAAAGATGATTTTTGGTTGATAATGTAGATTATTAAACTCTAAAAATCAGGGTGTCTTTGAAACTCATTTGCACTAAATTTCCACTTTTCAATACTCCTATAGTAAAAAGAATGAGAGTGGTCCACTTTCCAATGCTCCTATTGGAAAAAGAATGAGAGATTCGAGATTCGTTTAAAGACTTGAACTCCACGAATGTGACACACAATTTTAATTCTGTTTTCCTAGATGTCTATTAATGTGCTGTCATTTATTTAATTTAATATTTTTTTATGGACATGGACTAATGTCTCAAAATTAACATAAATCAAAGATTAATTTAGGACTAATATGCACTTATGTGGCACGGTATCTGCTGGTCTAATTTAATGTGAGAAAGCATAAGCAGGATTAACGGAGAAGCCAAATGTCAAATAATGAAAATTTGATTATATGAAATATGTTCTGAAAAGAGATCCTGAAATGTAACCATCTATCTACTTGTAGTTCAAAATCAATCATAAATGTAAGTTGGTTAAATATATATTAAAAATAAAATTATGTTACATGTTAAGATTGTTTTGAATAAAAATTTTATGAATGATTTGGGTATATGAAGTGAGAAATGTGGCAGTGTAATTGTGTGTCAGTTTGAGGAAGTGGAATTTAACTTTTGTTTGTATGGGCCAAGCCTTGAGTGCTAAGCAATGGTCCTCTTTGAATGATTATATTTTTGGGTCCCCACAACACAATTTTCTTTTCAATTCAAGTTTTCATCTGGAAAGGAGACACGTGTTTCGATTTCATTTGTCTGATCCTTTCCAAACTAAAGTAACTTAAATTTCGGACACCACCTAGTCTAGTAACTATAATCTAATTGTGCTTCACATTATTCTATTTATTTAAACCGCGTAAAATGTACTATTCTTTTTTGAAAATCAATATCCTCGTCAACTTTTAAAAACAGATATCCATTTTAATAATAATATATTAAATCTCTATTTTAAATCTATATCTATATATAAAATTGATTCTTTATTTTGATTTACACATTATTTATGATATGTTTAACTTTTCAAAAATATTACATAGTACCATAGAAGACAAAAAAAAGCCTGTTTACAAAAAGGTTTTATTTTTGAAATTGTTGATAATCATATACTATTTCATTAGCACACATATATATATATATATTATAGAAAAAGTTATCATCGAAACATAGACTGTCTTTTTTTTTCACTAATTATAATTATCTTTATATAAATGAAAATGACTTGATTTTATAATTAGTTTTAGATGAATTACTAAATTTAGTGATAAATCTATAAATTTTATGTTATGGTACAACAATTATATTTATAACTTATGGGACAATAATTATATTCCAATAACTATACTTTAAATTATGGGATAATTTATAACTCTACGTGTATATCATACTGAAAAATAGTTTTAGATTTTATTATATATTTATTTGATTTTATTATAATTACCAATGATTAAATTTTTAATTTTTAATCAATTATTATATTTATCTTTTAAAGTGCACCTCTCTCATTTAAAAGGAGTGAAATCCGAAAAAAAAAGTTATTAAATGAAATAAATTAGATATTTCCAATTTCAAAAAAATTATTCATATTATTGGTATCTTATTTTGCAAAAAAAAAAAATTATCAAGATATTTAATACATAATTTTTTCACCTTGTACAATTTATTAATGAAATTTTGTTAGTTGTCATTTGCTTGTGTATAATGATGACAATAAAGTTAGAATTTTAAATTTTGTACATTTTACGTAAACTTTCTATCATGTGATGTCCTAGTAGTCAATGTAATGAAATTTCTCTTAATTCATTTTATTCATGCATTTCCCCCCTTAAATTTCTTAAATCTAATCGATTCTTTTCCTTTGCAACAAAAGAGATAGATGATCATTTTTTTTTTAATCTTTGGGAATCAAATTTGGTACTAATGGATCTTTAACAACTCATGCAACTTGTTCAATCAATTATGCTAGATTCCTTTAGTAGATAGATAGACAAATGATTATTTATGGTCAATATAAAAAAATGTAATATTCAAAATTAAATACAACTAAATTAAAAATATGTCTAGTATTTACGATTAGAAATTAAATGTCATTGATATAACTACTATTATAATATTAAATTAAAATTATATTAATCATCATAATCTTAAGTTTTTTAAGTTGATGAATTAGTGTAATGGTTAAACATTCTTCACTCATCCATTGTGAGAAAGATGATTTATTTAGTGAAAAATCTCATGTTGAATTTCAATCATATACAACAATTCTTTAGACCAATAACATTTTCACTTATTGTAAACAACATTAGTTTCTAGTCCATTGATGGAGAATACTTGTAACAAACAGGATAAAAAATATTAACTTGTTTTAATTAAAAAAAGTAAAAAAAAAAGTTTTATTTTTTTCCTAGCAAACATATTCGAATAAGTTCTGGACTTTTTATTCAATTTTGAACAAATTATATATATATATTTTTTTAAAGACTAATTTCAAGAGTTGAGCGAATTAATTAGCTTAGTGACTCCTTTCCTCTAAGACCAGCCAATTGTATCCGGTTCTAGAAGAAATTATCAAGTAGTTTGAGATTATGACACGTCCATACTTTTAGTCAATATCATGTGAAATATATTTTAGAAAAAAACATTAATAACATTCAACTATATGTCATTTGAGGAGAAGTAGATTAACGAGGACCACAATGATCGTGAACTTGAAGATAATTGCTCGAGTTCTAGACACTCTTTAATGACTAAAATGGAAACATAAAATGGGCCTTTTAGGCGCACGCTCCTTGCATTCATAACCCAAACAAGTACATAACCCCCTCAATACAAATTCCAACATATAAAATAGAGTTAATCACCTATACAACGTAAATTTTTTTTACACTGACAACTAATTATATAATTTAATTGTGTTATTTTATTATTAATTTTATACTAACAGTGTATAAGTGATTAACTCAAAAACATATTCATAACCTCAGACTAATTAATTCTTTTGACTCAATTGTAGCCACTCATAGCTATTGTTATACAACTCACTCAGATTTTTAAATACATCGTGGAAAATGCATTCGTTATATCTAGCTACTGTGACAAGTATTTAATTTTCATGAATAAAAATCCACTCACGCTTGTTAGGAAGGTCACAGGTAGGGGAGGATTATTTAATGATAAAAGAGGTAATGACTATTATCTTCTAGTAGCCTAAAAATTAATGAAACAAATTAAAAACTCTAACTAATTGCTTTAGGGGGGTATAAAATTATTTTTGTTTCTCACAGCAAATTTTTCTCTATAAACATAACAAAAAAAAATCAAACCAAACAACATATTTAAAAAATCTAACTATCTACTAACTTTTTTTTTTGTCCATGCTAAAGTAAGATCCGTTGATCCTTTATATGGAGTCTACCTTTTGTACTTTTGGGAGGATGTAAAATTGAGTTTCTTTATTGAATAAGATATATTATCCGTGTTTTTATATCAGCGTTAAAACGTGATTTTTCACGTTTAACTAAAAAGAAAAAATAATGACTTCTCTATAAATTGATAATTGAATGTGGAGAGATGAAGAACTTACATTTAAAAATTGAAACCAAACACGCACTATGTTATAGTTAGTAGTTTGTTTTGCAATAGAAATCATTTTCAAAGTCAACTAATTTTGGTTTGTAGAAAGGCACAACACATCATTTCCTCTTAAATGATCTTACTTCATTAACAGGGCACAAGAATTACATTTTGAATATAAAGAAATTGACAGAATCATGTGATAATCCAATAAAAGAATGAGAATATTTCAAGTGCAAAGCAATTATTTGCTCCTCATGCACATGACAAGAACCTCTACAAATTTCTCATACATGTGCTGCTTCAAGAACATCCTCTGCACCTTTTTTCTTCCTTCATTCCCCATTTGCTCTCTTGCCAATCGGTTTTCAAGTAAATACCGGAGATTCTGTGCAAGGACATGATTCCCTGTGCGTCCAATTGGATGAAGAAGACCTGTCACATTATGATCAACAATCTCTTGCGTTCCTCCGGCATCTGTTCCAAACACCTACTCCATATTTTTAAATGAAAAAAAAAAAAACTGTCATTATTCACTTGTACCATTCAAGAAACTTTTCACATAGGTAGAGTCGTAGAGAGATAAAACCTAGAGATTATCAAGTATCAACTACCCTCACCGAATTATAGAAATAAGCAGGATATAGTGTTGTACTCTCAATATGTAATTAATAGTAATTTGGGCTATGATACGTTAGAAACCTCAATAGATTGAAGGTTACTTGTTTGAGAACAGTCTAGGGACAACTAATTTTACATTTCTAAACTCAAATTAAGTAACAATATTTAAAAGGCTTAATGATTATGTACTGACATCGAAAACTATGAACTAATTAGAAATTATTGTTATTAAGATTTTTTTGAAGTTATTTACTATAAACGTTAACAAACTTATCCTATACGTATATAACCTATTTTCTCAAATTGCAAATGACAAAAGTAGCATCATGCTTGAAAATGTTTCTATAGTCATACCGGAAGACCAAATGCCATTGCTTCTATAGTCACACGTCCAAATGTTTCTCCCAGTCCCTGTTCACCATTTTGCAAAAGAAACAAAAGTCATTACAGTATTTTCATTCAAGCAATTTAATAACAATAAATGCTAGCAGAGTAAAGAATGCAGCAAATGTAAAACATATACTATACAATCACAACAACAATAATAACATTGCCTTACACTAGTAGCGACTAAGGTGATAGACTCGATCTGAGTTCTGCACTCACATCACAAGTCAATTATATTCTATGACATGATAAATAATTTAAACATGGTTTACCTGAGAGTTTGTGACATAAACATCTGCAGCAGAGTAAAGTGAGGCTACACGTGTTGTGGCTGAGGTCCACAAAACCGACTTTGACAATTTGGAATGCTTTGCTAAGAAACTTAGAAGACCTTTGACATAATCGACCTTGTTACTCTTAGATCCCACGGAGCCAATGAGAATTTTGAGAGATTGTGCCATTGAACCATTGTTGTGGGACAACACTTCCCTTCTGTGAGCATAAAATTATACATCAATAATGAATAAATTTATAACACTAAACTGCCATATAGTTTTTAGATTCATGTAACCTGTTTATAAAATTTCTTGAGGTATTGTTCAAGTCTACACTGCTATCATCTGATGAGTTTTGCATTTTCATATCGTCGTGCAATGGTCCATGTTCTACTATTGAACTTGCTGATTCAAGAAGCAATAGCTGACCCTTTCCACGGTTGATGCTACTCAGAGTCATAACAAGCATATCAGTATCAGTTAACCCCATTTCTCTTCGGACCGAATTTCGCAACAACTCTCTCTTCTCATCCATTTTTGTAGCACTGAAGGATGGAGTGTTAAGAGTAGAGGGAATGCCGGCTACAAAAGCTAGTTCATCATTAACAGACAAAGGAACAAGTGTAGGCTTTGATCTCAGTTTTATGCCTTCTTCTTCACACCATTTTTGCCATTGCTTAGATTGTAATTCAGAAAGAAAAAACAATATCTTCACTCTGTGCAACACATTCTTTGCACGATCAAAGTACTCTCGACGGTTTTCCATAATCCACCAAGCAACTTTACTTGCACCAGCAGGAAAATGTTCAATGTATTGTTCTGGAAATATACAAGAAAGGTGTTCTAGTAAGAAGGGTACAAGTATGAAGTTCCAAACTCATGGTTTTCCATATTGTTTATGATATGTATCGAAGTTCTCATCTTGATAATGGTACAAAATCTGAAAATAAGCATACAATTACTTGACCACTTTTTCTATCAATTGTCAGGAGAATGATTAAAAGGATAAAGCTCATGTTTATATGAAAGTGGCTAGGCATGGGGAGGAGAATCCTATTTCAGTGTCATTCAGTAAGATGTTGAGAATAAATACATTGCATAACATAATTGGTGAAAAGTAAAAGTCCTATGCCAATAAATTAAGAATTAGTATGAGGATGCGAAATTAAGCCTATGATATTTTGGTATTGTTTATATAGAAAAGTAAGGCATGGAAAAGTAAGGTCTTCAAAAATGTATTGTTCAAGTTTTTAATCTTTCTTTTAAAGTCATAATTTGAAGTAGCAACACAACTACCAAGCATTGTCCTGTTGTGCAAAAGCTAGAAACTGATGTTCATTCAGCATCAATGTAAGCTTTGCACTTGAGTTGAAAAATTATTTACCCCCAAATACACGACACATCCACATTCCAACACTGAAAACTACAGCACTGCATAAGGAAAACTAAACCAATTTGATCATAGTATCATACCAATCCATGATGCACAGACAGCTGATCCAGCAATGACAAAATCTGCCTTGGTTGCAGTTTTGAAGCTGAGGTATGCTTTGTCATCAAGCACCTTGATTTGTCTCCTACCAAGTTCTTGCATCAAACCACCCTTCCTGCTAAGCACCACAGCTGAAACAGAAGCCCCACAACTCAAGAGTTCAGTTCCCAACTCCATCATTGAAAGTGGTGCCCCAGTCATTGAAAGCTCATGAAATATCAACACAAACCTTCTTGACCAAACAAGCCTTGCAAACTCCCCTTTCCTTTCCCACGTTTCATAACGCCTCTTAGGACTCCATTGCAGAATTCTATCCTCTATTGAACCAAATGGACCAACAAGGAATCCATAGGTAGAATTCCTTTGAGGAATTTCTGGCCCTTGCTCCTCTATACCAGCACTCTCAACTCTATGTTTTCGCCTCCTCTTACCTCTCAAAGCACGCATTGATCTTCTCCTTTTCTTTGAGCTAGCCTTGAGTTGAGATAGAACACCATATTCTTTCTTGGCCAAAGCCACATTCATTGTTTTGTTCCCATCTCTTCCAATACTAACAGATAAGGAAATGTTTTTGACAAACAAATCATGATGCCGATTCTGTTCAATATATGAGTTTGTTCTATCACTTTGCCTGCTTTCAAAGCCTGAAAATTCCTCATCATTATCATCATGTGCCCACCTAGATTGAACACAAAATCCAAGATAAGCCCAAAGGGTAATCAGAAACAGCCACAGAAGTAATCGGTTGCTCCCAAAACACTGTGCACCACCCTTGGTTTCTCTTCTTGGTGTTAAACCAGAATGTGGTCGCTGAAAAGAAGGAGAATAATGTTGTGGAGTTGATCTTCCAGATAACGTGGATTTCAAACTGATAGATAATCTGGATGAAGAGTTCTTAGTTGAATTTGCATGAACTTCTCCTCTATTGTTGCAATCCTCCATTAGTATAGTATCCTTATTCATTTCCTTTTTGGAATCATTGGTTTCAGCAATGTTGGTTCTCTCTCACACTCACCTACCATATATAGGAAGTTTAAGTTTTATCAAGAAAGAAACACCGAAAGAAAAGGTGTGTTATAGTTCTTGATGCATTTTTCATAGCAAAGAGAGAGTTTGACAAAAATGTTTTTCAAGAAGAAACTAAGAGCATGAGTTACATGTATTGGTACTCCAAGGATGTGTGCTTTGAGGGTCAACGATCATTCTTGAATTGTTCCTTGGCCTGCAATGTAATGTACTTCAATAACAAAAAGTGGAAGAGAAGAGACAGAGGGGTATGAGTTTGACACAAAAGGATGCACGTGCCTCGCACATGTGTTAGGTTGGTCAACCAAAAACAAACTCAATTTTCTTTTGGACCAAAGCATAAATAATCGGTCCAGAAAATGATGTTATATTTATATATAACATATTATTTTTATATCTTATTATTATTTTTATACAAATATTTTAGAAATGCAGATTCAAATTAAAAAAGTACTTTTTATTAGCTCATTTTGAGGTTTAAAAAGCATTTTTCTTAAATCATTGAATTAATTATTACAGAATTCGCTGGTCGCAACTACTTTCATGTGCAAGCTCGGATCGGATGTCACGTCAGAGTTTTGGTAAATGATTACGAAAGGTTCTCTCAATTTTTTCTATTATAATAAGTAATTTAATCACTTTTTGGTTGATCATTTTCATTAAGTAAATGATGATATTAAAAAACAATAACTACATATTCATGTTTTTATTTTTTAAAATAATTATTATTTTGACACTTTCAATTATTTCTTGAAAAATATATTTAAAAGTTAAAACATGCATTTCCGCTTATTGGCCAACAAGCCAGAAATTTGTTTCATGCATCTTCTGTTATTAAAAGTATAAATGAGGTTATTTATTTCCATATTTGTTAGAAAATTATGAAAATATATTCACAGATATTTTTTTTTTATTTCTATAAAAGTTAACAGTAAAGTAATATTTTTTATTAGAATATTAATAAAAATTATTTTTACTTATTAATATTTAGATCATTTTAAATTTTAAAAATATTAAAATATAACCAAGTATTTTCTTAAAAAAATAAAAATTGACATTTCAATTTAATTATAATATTCTTGAAAACGTAATTTTAAGAAATGCAAAATGATATTATGTAACAAACATCCCCAAAGGCAATAAAGTGAAATAGTTAATGATTCACGCTGCATGTTTTGTGCCATAGTTGATAAACTTTCTTTTGTGTCCGAGACATGTTAAATTATTTGCTTCCACATTTTACTAGGATGTTCAGGGATTAAATTTTTGTAAAACTCAAACAAAGCCGAGCTAATCCATTTTATAAGTAGATCGATTAACCCATTTTTTTTATAAAATAAATCGACTTAATTGTTTTTTAAAATATAGATCAAATTTTTTGAAATGGATTAATTCAATCAGTTATCCCAATTTGCAAAGTGCAGCTTTGCACTCCCCTGCCTTTTACCATCATATTTCCTTCTAGAGAATGCTTTTACCCCTAAATTCTTGTCATTATTGTAAAGGAAATTAGTGCCTTTATATTAATTTAGCAGAACTAGAATTTCATTCGACACTCGAAACATATCTAACACGAAAATAATACTGCATATTCATGTTTCTTTCACTAATATAGCAATGCTCCGCCACTGGTTTGCTAGAGATTAGACCAACACTAAGTTGGTGTAAAAAAAGATACTTCTTTACTTATTTTGAGAAGAAAAAAAATAATTGTACGACAAAAATATTCTTTATTTTTCACGTTTTATTAAAAAAAAGTCTTCAAAGTCAATTCACATGAACCCACCTCTGGTGGCAATATTAATAAATTCCCTCTGATTACGCAAGAGAAGTTTTGATAGTATGATAGCAAACCATAGTCTTTCAATCACAATAGTTGTATTAAATTGGAAACAAAACGGTTCATTTGAAAATACTAGAGCTTTTTAAAATAATAAAAAAAAGAATACATTAAAAATGTCTCATAAACTTATAGATGATATAAGCACAAGGTCGAACCATATGAATAACAAATAACAACCATTTACATGAGAAACTTTTCAACCACGATGATGCAATCAGCTGCTGCAGAATAATAATTATGACTTTTTCTATATCCCTAGTTCTAGAGAAGCTTTCCTGTGTTTGTTTCACACAAACAAGCTTAATTAAAAAACCAAACCGTAAGAAAAACCTGGAAAGAAGCAATGAATTTGTCAGTGCTTTCTTTGATTACAAGGGTACAAAGTACTAACAATAATACTAGTAATAATTCTTACCGTACAACTAAACAAGCTACTACCACCCTTCATGCTGCAATAACTTCAATGACGGGAACAGCAAGAGCAGGTGTTATAACTGCAATAGGAAAGGGGGAGAAAAATGAAAAAGATAAATGAGTCTAAGAAAACCATACTAATGTTTTTTGTATCCATAAAAAAGGTCCAAAAACCGTCCAATTATTTTCTAAGACTAGTTACCCCAAATATTGTACTTTATCATCTAAAACATGCTTCTCTCACTTTAAAGGAGTCAAATCTTGATTCGATTCTTCGTTGGCTTTATTGAATGATGAAGCCAAAGGATACAAAACTAGGACACCTCTCAACTGGACAATATAAAATATTCTCAAAAAGAATACAAGTTCAGTAGCTACAATTACCTAAAAAATCTTGAAACTTATTGCAGCCCAAAGTGCTCCAGATCAGAAGCCGGAGAACAAAGGGCCAGGAGATAGGCCTGCAAAACAGCATTACCAAACCTCAGATATTTGAAGCAATAACAAAATAAAAAGGATGTTAATTAGGAAATAACAAACCTTTATCTGCTTATTTTAAACAAGCTGCATCATATATAATACTTCACTGACCAAAATTCATCTCTGAATATCTGCATAGAACATATCAACACAATCAACATTCATAGAAGTTATATATCCAATACATAGTTATACCCCACAGTAACCAAGATATGCATTCCTTACTTCCCTACACAGGACCA